TGGGACTGCTGAAAATGTGCTGCTATCATTTTCCAGACAGTGAATGACTAGATGGGTATTTCGGTTTGGAAGCATCTTTCTTGTCCTCTCAAGTATATGGGGGTAGTTTCTGTCAAATTAGGGAATATGATTAATTAAGGAAAAGCAACATTGCAAATGTAGAGGTAGAAGCAGTCAGACATTATGTCCTGCCATATTGAAGAAGTTAAGGAGAATCTGTGCGAAAATGTTTGAAACTCCTTTGTTCCTTGTTGTACAGGTTCAGCCTACAAAGAATCAAAATGCAGTGGAAATTTGAAATAGATTTCTAGTCCTGTTTTGGAACACTACCTACCTGAAAAAACAATTGGGTAAAACCAAAAGAAAATGTGTTTTTAACAAATATACTCAATTCAAAGTTAGAATGGAAATATACTCTCTGTTATATACAGTTTTAGTTCCTTGTTACATGTTCCCTTGCAAACGTTTCAAATCATTGGAGTGTAGTTACCTGTTAGTACATGTTACGAAATAACCCTCCCTTGAAAAGGAACAATTTTGGGATACTGTGAGGGCACTTAACACATGCTAAATTGCTTGAACGTGCATTTGTTGTGTTTAACTGTACTTGGTAAGTGTTAAGTTGAAAATGACACCACCATTGTGATGCATTACTTAACATTTATCTTTTTTTTAAATATCAACAATTCTTAAAATAGGCACTAGGTGGTGTGTTAACCTTTGCTGTGAATTGATGTCTTTCTGTGGAACCCATCAGTATCTTTAGGATGCAGGGTTTCTTTTTTTAAACTCATCTCAGAAAAAAATAATTATTAAAAGCATTAGATAGCAGAATTTTGCCAGGTTTTCTTTTAACCCAAATATTACTCCTGACTTTAAAGCAATTCACTTCTGTACTTTGCACTGTTGATATAGTAGATAAAATATTTCTTAAGTATATCTTTGTCCACTACTTGGTTGTCAATAGCTAGATGAAATACAACACCATTTCAGTTGCCAAATAATTTTAATGATTTCCTCAGGCCTATGCTTTATTGAAACATATTACAGTATATTGTGGATGTTGTCGTAAATATATTTTTTTAAGGATAGGAGCTAGTAGAGATTTAAAAATAAGAAACAGAAGGCAATTCTGTACTCTACTACATGAGTTTTGATTTATTTTTGTACATTGTGTCAGATATCCAGGTTGTAGCTGTATTGGTCTAAAGGGAAAAGGAATCAAAACTCAAGGAGTAGGCGATATTTTTTAAAATTTATTAATCATAAATAAATATTTCCAAAACTCGTGGGAGTGGTGATATTTTTTATTGTTTGCAGATATCTAGTTGGTCTAATAAAATATATCACCCCTTCCCCTTTGATTTCTTTTTGTATGTTGACATATATATGTGTATGTATGCAAAAGCATCATTTTGTTTGCTCTTTAATTTTACTTTTAAAGACAGTTGTCACCACTTAACACTTAGTGATCTGAAAGTTTAATTATAAAAAACATTTTTTTCTCATGAGTTACCTTTGAAGTCTTTTTGAAAATAAGTTCTTTTAAAAAAAAAAAAAAGGCATTTCTGACTTTAGGAAATACTGTTTAATGACAAAAAGTACCTGAAAAGCAAAGTGCTCTCCATTTCTATATGTGAGAGGCAAGGATATTTTTGGAGTTATATTTTTTATTGGACCAACTGCACAGTTGGGAGAGATGTTAGACAAACTTCTGAGCAAAAGTTACCCTTCACCTCAGACCTGAAGAATATGGGATATGATTATAATTGCTTTGCTGAAATGTGATAATCAAAGGATTTGCTCCAATCACAGTGGCAATTTAGAAAAAATAAACTCTATACTTTAGAACTGGAAATAAAGTGGCAAGGTATGATGCAGTACATGTCTCCCACTAAGATAGGGATATATCTTTAAACATAAGGACAAACAGATGATCAAAATTTTATCATCAAATTTCTGTTTTCTCAATTATGCTTTCCTGTGCTGAGCCAAAGTCCTTAGCTATCCAGCTCTGCAGGACCTTTGGATTTTTGTAGAAACCAGTCACTAGCACAAGGGGGGGTTAAAGTAAAAAAATTCTGCACATTTCTCTTTGGCAAACCACAGTGGCTGAACTAGGAAGATAACATGGACACATCCAAATATTTTCTATAGGAAGGACCGAGTATTATAGCACAGACTTGGGGGAAAACTAAAAAAGTTGATTTTTTTGAAGTGTTGTCCTCTGAGGCAAAAATAGGACTTCAGGATTTGTATGCAGAGTGATTTGACTGGAGATACCACATTTACTTGAATGTAAGATGAAATTTTTGCCCAATCAACATGCGGGGGTGAGGGGGGTGGGGAGAGGAGGGGGAGGTCTCATCCTGGATTCAGGTACTCTCCTGGGACAAGCAGCAGCTCAACTTTTCTTCAGCCCTGGGCTCAGGGCTAAATCTGGAACTGAGCTGCTACCTGCCCTGATCTGGGGTGATTCGTTTTACAGGGAAGGGGGTCCAGAGATTGGGGAGAACTACCTGTATGGCTTGTGGGGAATGCAGGGGACACTGCATAGCCTTCCCTCCCTGGCTGCCTCCTCCTCACCTTACCTTCTACTCTGGCTTTGGTCCCTCTAGTCCAACCTTGCCCAGCAGTGAGCTGCAGCTGCTGCTTTTCTGTGGCTGGGCTGGGTTTGGGCCAGGCCAGAGTTGCTGCTGCTTTTGGCTGACCCAGAGCTGGAGCAGAGCTGCAGCAGAAGCTAAGCAGGAGGAGGAAGGCACAGGGGGACAGATGGCAGGGGTCAGGCGCAGGTATGAGGGGAGGGGCAGGAAGTGGAGGGGGCAGGCACGAGCCCGGGGGGCAAGGTACAGGGGGCAGGCAGCAGGGGAGGCAAGCCCCAGGGTGGGAGGAATGTGGCAGGGGGGACAGGCAAGGAGTGGGGGTCTGGTCCATTGGCCTCTGCCACTCTTCCCTGCCACAACAGTGGGGTGGACAAATTTAAGACAGTCTTCCATGAATTAGATTCTATACATGGAAAATTATAACATATTTATAATTTTCCATGTATAGAATCTAATTATTTGGGGTTTATCTTAAATTCTAAGTAATCTTGGATTTGGGTAAATATGGTACTTGGTTTTAGTTTCTTTTTAGGTACCTAAAGACAAGCTCTACCACATCTGTTCCTTTCCCAGAGATCTGAGGAACAGTACTGTGATACCTGAAAGCTTATCTATGTCTATCCCAGCCATGCAGTTGGTCCAATAACATTTACATTTTCTGGACCATCATGGCAAAATCTTCACTTCCACACTTACTCATTCAAAACTGTTGTGCCTGAATAATGACTTTGATTGGGGTCTTTCTCTTTGTTAAGCTTGGGCAACACTTACATAATTTGTCATGTCATTAAACTATGGTTGAATAGAGCTGAGAACTTCTCAAATGTTTCAAATTACTATTTAAAATGATTGAAAGTGAAATAACTGAAGAGGTAAATTGCTATGGAGAGCTGAAAAGTAACCCCCCTTTTAATAGCAGTCTAGTGGTTGATGAGAGTCGAAATTAAATGGTCCAGCTTTAGCAGGTGCTTTCTACTCTAAGCAGCCTTAAAATGAGCCTTGTGTAGAAGCATTTTTTGTTAATCTTGATTAGGAAGTCTTACCTAAATTGTCCACTGGATAATTCATTGGAGAGTAAAAGTAAAATACATTTTGTAGCTTCTCTGTAAACGTCTTCTCATACTGGATCTCTTCTGGTAGATTAAGCCACATGTCTTATGTAGATGAGAGCTAAATTTGCAGGATGATGTCTTTCACTGTATTGGATCACTGTCTAGCTAAGTTGCTGAGTGTTATACCTTTATGTTAGTTACAGTCATATTGTCATCTAGGTATGTTAAAATGAATGTTCATGAGCCTTTAGTAGGCCTTGGATGGAATATTTTATAGTGCAAAATGAATGATTAATTGAGCTATGGTTCATGGGGATGATTAACCGTAATCAAGGCTCAGTATAGATATTCTGGAAATATATCATATTTTTATATGATATATAAAAGTAGCATCACATTGTCCATAAAATAGTAGAAAGAAATATACAAAAGGAGAAAAGAGCTTGATTAGAGAAACTAAAGATAAGTGAAAAGAGGAAGGAAGGAAGAGTGGCTATATAGTAGATGAACATGTTTTAAAACAAATCAAAACAGTTACATTGTTTTGTTAAATACTGGAACTCGTCATATGAATGTGACATAAATGGGGTATTGGAATTCACCAGCTTTGTCATGTGACTAATGTAACTAATTACAATGCCCAGATCCTATAGGCAACTACATTTTATAATAATAATAATAATAACTAATAACTACATGCAAGATATATAACACGTGGGAACTGTCAATAAATATTTGAATATTCTGTTATTAATGTAACACCAATAGGATTAGTCACTAGTTTCCACAAATATTGAATTTTTATTTCTTTATTTACAGATCAGATTGATTTACAGTGGTTTTAAAATCAAGCCCATAAACTCCTACAATTAATTAGATACTGATCCCAGCAATATTGCAGTCAATATATATTTATTCACACTACCTGAAACTCTTTTCAAAAGTTCCAAACTAGACTTTAATCCATTCTCTGAAATTTTCATTTTTATTTCCATTTTCTTGCATCCATTCCATTTCTGTATACTCTTAATAATAAACCTTACTCCTCTTCTTACACACCATGCAAATACATTTATGTCCATTTTTTAGAGTACTCTAAATGAAGAGATTAGAGAGGAAGCAAAATTATTTTCATCTACAGGAAACTTTTCTTCCTATACATGTCCAGGCATATTTTTTTGTTTATAAATAACTTGTTTGTAATCTTTATTTCAAGACATAATGTTTTATTTCTCTTTCTACCTCCACATATAACAGTGGTCAAATGGCATATGCTTGGCTAAAATGTTTTAACATTGCTTTCTTTGACAAAACTAATGCATTTTTCATTTAAATCTCTGTACAGGTAATGTGGGTATGTAACTTGTGCCGAAAACAACAAGAAATCCTCACAAAATCAGGAGCCTGGTTCTATAACAGTGGATCAAACACACCACAGCAGCCTGACCAAGAAGGTATTAGAGGGCTGCGAAACGAGGAAGCACCTCAAGAGAAAAAAGCAAAACTTCAGGAGCAATCCCAGTACCAAGGACCCTCAGGTGACATATCCACAGCAGCTTTGGACAGAAACAGATCTCAAGGGCTCATGAGACAAGAATCAATCAAAAATGGTTCAGAAGTAAAGCACCAGGTTGTGAGTGACACGACTTTAGACAGGTAAGGAACTGTTTCCTCTGTTTATTGATAAGAGTTTGTAGAATTTAACTTTATGCTATATATTTTACCTCAGTTGCTTGCATTTACAAACTATGTATTGTAGGGTTTTATGATTCTACTTTCATTAGTAACCAACTGAGGAGCCTTTCATCATGTTCAGAAGGGGAAAAGAGAGGGATTTTTTTATGTCCTTTATTTCGCTGAAAGAGTATTTTAGTCAAGAAATGACAATGACACTACAGATATTAAAAGGTGATGCTAACAGTGTACTCATAGTCCCTTTGCTAAGCTTATCATCCCTTTACAATTCCTCACCCCCATGCCGTGTAAAAGGAGTAATCCTCAATACTGTGTGACAGTGGCATAACAGGTAGGGTTTGCAACTTGGACAAACATGGAGGGGGGAGGAAGGGGATGGGTTGCAAGGGTCTTACCCAAAACAGTCCTTGGTGTGCGGATGCTGCTGCTGTTGCTACTGCACGTTCTGCTCACCCAAGCTCTTGCTCTTAAAGCAACATCAGTGCCGTGCCTGTGCACCAGCTGCTATTGAAAAAAATGTGCTGTGGGGCTGTTCTTGCTTCTGAGGTGCAGATTCCATGGGGGTGGAGGATGATTTTGGTGCTCTTCCTAAGAGCTGGTGCCACTGTGGTCCCCCTGTGCCACCCCTAATTACATTACTGCTGTGTGGTATTATTTTTATGGCATAATTTTTGCCAATGTGATTTTTGCCAATGTGTAAAAATAAGGCTATGGAAAGTGTTTTGCTGGTGTAAGGAAGGTGGTAGTCAAGCAAACTGTTGGATTATAACTTCATGTAGTGCTTTTTGTATTTTGAATGGGAGATTGCAGTGCCTTTGAGTGATGGTGTCAGCATAGAATCTTCTTGAGTGTTTCCAATTTCTTGAACCTTAGTTCTCTTTATTAAAGAAACCAGTTATTCAGACCCTTTTCATCTTGATGCCATCTGTCAATGTTTGTAAATTCACCTTTTTTTACATGTATATAATTAAAATTTTCTTTCAACTCAACAGGTATTGATTCTTTTTTCATGGCTTGGTTTAGAAATACATTTAATATAATTGATCTAATCTCATTTTGCGTCCCTTATTTTGCCTGCTGCCCTTTGCTCCAATCTCAGTTGACAGGTTCAGCACTGAGCGTCTCTGAGTGTTCCTTAATTATATTCACGATCTCTGAGCTGCACAGTACTGAAACTGGCAGCTCAACTTATTGCTAAGGAGCATTGGTCACAATGGGACAAAGAAAGACTCATCATTTCACATTTTTTCTTAATTATTTCTAGAAAGTGGGATCGTCTATCCCCTATAGTATAATATTGATAATAAAACAGGTTCTTTGTTCTCAACTGCAATTCAATTCTCTCTTAAAGGCTCTTTCTGCTCTCTCTCTCTCTCTCTTTTACACACATATATTTGAGAGAAAGAAGAAGTTTTCTAGATTCTTTAAATCTAAAAATCTATAGTTATCTAGATTTTTAAAATGCTGTTATCTAAACTCTAAGTATAAGTGTAATATAAATAAATACAGTACAAAGTTAAATTGGGCAATGGGAAAAATGTAGACTCTACCTCTAAAATTATTTTTCCTTCTACCCACTGAGATCAGAAGTATTTAGCAGAGTGATATCAGTTCATGGCTGCTATGCATCCCCTTAGTTTTAGTCTTCCTTAATAGACACACAATATCAAACTTGGAGTTGTGCCCATGATAAGTTTGACATACCCTCTTGAAATTGAGAGGTAATGTCCATCAAGCTAACCCTCCTTCCACTGAAGGAGATCCTGAACTGAACTGATCACCTCTCCCCTGATTACAAAGTTGTTGGTAGAGAGGGTTAGAATTAGAAATGGAGAGGGTTGCACAGTCTTGACATTCCCTCTATCAGAGTCTCTGAGGCACGTTAACCTAGAATTCAGTAGCTGAGCAAAGTCTCAGATTTGGATCACTGAGTGGCAAAAACACTTTTGAAAGAGATAATTTTTACTTGTAAGTATTTTTCTTTTTGTTTGTTGTTAAAGATCTCTTTCCATTTTTAAGTTGAAAGTCCACAGTTTCTATTGGCACTGTGATAGTCATTGCTTAGCACTTCTGCATATGAAGTGTCATATGTCTTAATTTAGGTGGTCAGAAAGTGAGGAACCGAGTTTTCCTGGGAAGCGTTCACTTTACCCACACATTGTCCTTGCTGTTGCTGATGTTTCTGTACCACTCCTTAATTTATTCCTCTTTCTAATCCTTTGTCTCTTTATCGGTATAAGTTCTTGATTATGGGAGCCATATGGTGTATGTTTCTGTGGCACTTAGCACATTTTGCAAAGCATTTTAATAGTAATAATGTTGATTAATCCACTATTCAATATTAACTATATTAGCATTCTGTTTTGCCTACATGTATGGCACTACACTGTGGTATGAATGTGAGCACAATAGAGACATGCAGGGCAAACCAATGGAGCAGTAGCATCATGGGGGGTGGGCAAGCCCCTGTGGGAAAGAAGCCAGAAGAACGGGGGGAGTAGGAACTTCACTCTGGAGCTACTAGGGTGCTTGCTACTGCCTGCCTGCTGCTGCCTGTCTTGCTCTACTTGCCCCCATTGTAAACAATATGTGTCACAGAGCACAAGGTGTTCTGGAAGTCATAGTTTTGTTGAGTAGCAGTGTAGTTCACTGCTCCAGGGGAGGGAGTTGACTCCATTTTTTACACAAAAATCAGCAAATTTTTGCCCTTTGGAGAAAGGCTTCAGTGGCAAAAAGTGGGATGAATTCTCCCTCTCTCTCCCAGGCAGCAGCAAATTCCACTGCCACTGTAGATTACCTATGATTACCAGAACAGCTTGCCCAGACAGCCACTTGCTGTTATTCTGCGACTTGCAAGTCAGAAGATCCTTGGAAGAGGGGGAGGGGTGAAAGCAGACTGCTCAGGATGCATTTTTCCATGCTACAACTTTGTAATGGAGTGGAGAGCTTGTTTTATTGATCTGGGATTAGAAATTTGCTTTAAAAATATGAGATAGATTTGGACTACAAAACTGGGATTTGAACTTCCCCAAGGCTCTTTAATAAAGGGGTTTTAATTTGGGCTCATCTCTGCTAAAAATAGAAGTAAAAAATCTTTAAGATTGATAGCTGTATGTGTTACAAACATATTAGTCTTTCATTATTAAATGTATTTCTAGTCTATATCTGGTATTTCCAATGCACCTCACAATATTTTACATGGCTTTTTGCTAAATAAATTTATGGAGAAGATGCACCCAAAAGTTTATGATGGGACTCAGTGTAATACTGTAACATTACTTTGAGTTACTGACCAACCTGTATCTGACAATGAAACAACCTTGTGACACGTAGGGATTTTAGCCTAGGGCAGTTATAAAATGGCATTTAAAGATTTAACTATGTTTTGGGCAAAGTATAGGTATTGGAAGAAGCATATTGTAGGATTCTGAAGAGCAGTGAATCCAATAAGTTTAATGCTAAATGATTCAACATGCTAAATGATTCAGTGGCTGACAAGAGCCTCCTCCCCAGCAGAGAGAGGTGGAGGCCGTCCCTTCCCAGCAGCTCACTGCCTCTCTCACCAAAGAGCAGACTGTGGTCATGGAAGCCAAAGTCTTCCTGATGACACCAGCGCTGCAGTCTTTGGTTCACTACCTGGATCCTCCTCTCCCTTCTTGGCCTGTAACCCGAGACTGGGAGGATCAAAGAAAACACCACCTCCGCCCCCAGACCCTTAAGCCCTGCTCCCAAATCCCTGTAGCACTTCATGACCTGGCTGGGAGCACTCTGAGCTGTGTCATTGGTGCCCATGTGGATAAGGAGCATTGGATAGTGGTCAGCGGGCTGGAGGAGTTCAGGGATCTTCTCCGCAATGTCTCGGACTTGGGCTTCCGGGAAGCAACAGACTCCCCGGGTTAAGGGGTCAGGGCAGCAGATTGTCCCCTCAGTCCCCATCAGGATGGAGTCTCCCACGACAGACACTTTGCGTATTGTCTTGGGGAGAGCGGGGGTCGTAGCTACAGTAGAGCCTGTGTTACCTGCAGGAGCTGGCAACTCAGCAGGCTCTGCTGGGGCTGCAAGAGTTTTATACCCGTTGCAGAGCTCCAGTGGGACAGGGACCTTGGTGTGGCGGGCCTTGGGGCCCTTGGCCACCTTGGTCCAAGGCCTGGGCTGGACAGAATAGGAGGTCTCTGAGTCCTCCCTTGTCCTGGAGGGAGACTGTGGTCTCCCCTCTGCTTCCCGGGAGAGAAGGTCCTGACAGTAGGAGTTGATCTCCTGCTCACAGTCCCTGATGGCGTGTGGTCTCTGGACTGCAGCCTGGAGGTCCTTCAGCTGGTGCGCTAGAGACCCCAAAATAGAGCAGACCTCACAAGGGGAGGTGGCCATGCTCCCGGACCCCAGAACCTGAAAAAGTGACAAGCAGCCCCCACAGCTGAGAGCCAAAGGCTCCGTCTGCGTGGAGCCCAGAACCATGGGCTCCATCTGGGTGGAGGCCTCTAAGGAGCCAGATGTGGGGGGCTGCAGACCCTGAGGGGAACCTTGGGTTGTGGCATGTGCCCATCCACATCATGCGGCTGGTAAGCTGGCTGCAGCTGGGACTGTCTACCCTAGGGGCTCACAGGCAAGGCCTCAGGCCCTCCTGCTCGCCTTCCTGTGCGAACTCTGTGCTAACTCACATGCTGGGCAGACAGGCGCGCCTGTTTGCACAGCTTGTTTGCGCGGCTCCGGTCATGTGGCTCCCTGGAGGGCTGGGCGAAGTAGGGGCCGGGGCGGGGTGAGATAAGAAGTCATGCTTCTCACCAACATCAGCACATGAAATATGACTCTGATAATATAAAAGTGACTCAACTAGGCATTAGGAATGGGTTATCTAGTTCAGACAGTAAGTATAGGCTCATTCTTATTCATCCATTGCTTATCCACTGTCAAAGCAAAATGCTTTTTTGAAAAAGTTTGGCTAACTTTAAAAATAATTTTAT